AGTGTAACTCACTTTCCCTCCTTCTTCACTGCATTCCTCCATAAAGTTCAGGCTAGCACACTGCTCTGATTCTCCCAGGCTGGACTGATACTGTGCATGCCCTACAGGCTCTTTGCAGCTTCATCCATCTCTTTTCCTGGACTCCCTAGTGTCACAAAGAGATTCCACAAGATGGCCTGGGTGTGCAGCCCGCCCTCTCACTTTAGGATAGTAAGGTCTTCCAGGAACTCATCTAATTTCTGTGCTCCTTCACCGCTCAAATGAGGAGCACCCTCCCACAAAGTCCGTGTGCAGATTTAGCATGTGGATATGCACTCAGTGACCAGCACAGCACCTGTGGAGAGACCAGAGAGGAACTGCTGTGGCTCGTGTTCAGATGTCCCTGCGAAGCCTCACGTGGTCATAGGTGGAGCTTTTCGGAGGTGACTGGATCTAGACTGTAGGATACTATGAATAAGGACGTGCTACTGGGCTTGCAGTGCTGCTTCACAGTGTGACGCTGATGTGAAAGGTGCCCCACTCTGAGTGTGCAAAGGCGCCTGCCAGCCAGCTAAGAACTGAAACCTCTACAACTGTGAGCCAAAATAAGCCTTTGCTCCTCTTGCTTTGGGCATCAGGTATTTTGTCTCAGCAATGCTAAAAGTAGCTAAGACAGAAGTCTGCTGTCATTCCTATTATTATGGACAGCTAAGTTGGATAAAAATACTAGAGGCAGGCAGGGCCGGGCCCTCAGATGAGTCAGCGCGTCACAGCTGTGGCAGGAGGTGCCTCTGCTGAGGGCCAGCCTCAAGACGAGGCAGGGCGACCAGGCCTCCAGCCCTCCCAAGAGACAAACAGTGAATTAGGAACTGTGCTCACCAGGTCAGATAAAGTCTGAGCAGACGTCTGTTGCCCCATGGGGTGGCTGAGACCCTCTATTTGTCTCCTCCTGAAAAGGTCCTTGCTCCTCCCTGTACACTGGCTGTGTGATTGGCATTCATGCTGGATCGATGTTACCTGCATGGCTACACTTTCATCTTATTAGCTGACCATAGTTTTGCCCCATGTCATGCCCACCTTGTGGCTTTGAGCCCACCTTGTGAATCTGCTCTGCAAAACTTCCTCTGTCCAGTGGGGTCTAGGGCCACACATTTTTCAGGTCTTCTATCTCTTGAGAACTATATCTCTTTTTGAACATTTCCTACTTTTAATCCCCATTGTTCCTTAAAATTTATTCTTATGTTTTGGGAAACACAAACTCAGAGTATCTGACATCTAACAGGTTGAAAGTTTCATCTATTTCCCCTATATCTCTACCACAAGTCACCTTTGGCTGCTTTTCTTCTTTTAGTGGAAGTAAGGGTTGGATTTTGAGAGTGGGTCTCCCTATACAGTTCAGGGTGGCCTTGAACTCACTATGCAGCCCAGAGTGGCCCAAACTCGCAGTGACTCTCTTGTCTCAGCTTTCTGAGTGCTGGAATTAAACAACTGCTTTTCTGAACAAAGTCTTCTGAGCCAACATGCATTCTAAGAAAAACCATAGCTCTATTTTAAACCAAAACTATTTACCTGCACTGGTCCAATAAAGAGAAGTGTCATTTAGAGACTGTTCCAAAGCATGTGGACCCTAACTGTGGCGATCCACAGCACAGCCCTCTAGTCATGTCTCTGGTGTGACAGAAGGCATTACCATAAAAGCACTTTGCCCATTAATTTTAATTTCCTAAACAGCAAAAGACCAGAATTAACAGTCTGCAGAATTTCACATCTAATGGCTTCTGAAACGCTGGCAGGGTTATCAGATGGCAGGACTTGCTCCAGTCCTGGCTCTCACAACTAAGTTACTAACACTTTCAAGACAGAGTAGAGTAGTCTCTAAGAACTTTCTCAGGGCTCATGAGAGAGCACAAAGGGGCTTTTGCTATCTGTGGTCCTGCTAAAGCTAAACATTCCTAACAACCAGTTATCCCAACCCCCAATCTCACTGCACTCCAATGACCTAGACACACAGGAATGTCACCAGCACATTCCCTGAGTGCTTAAAGAAAAGAGTAACCACAGTGCAGTGGAGAGAGGAAGGGAAGGGCCTAGGGGAAGGAGGGAATGAGAAAGAATGGGCGTGACAAGCCAAGGAGGTTCCCTAGAGGGTGTGTGATGAAGAGCCTGTGACACAGGATGGAACTTGGAAGTGCTTCTGTCCAGGCCATTGTACCGTGTGCCGCAGCGTCCAACTCTCTGAGGCCATTTACCCTTCCCTGACTTCCTGGGGCCTTGAGCTCAGTCTGTGAAGCATCTCTCCGGTCACTCTTCTTTTCCTTCCTGAGAAGCCCGGAGGATCAGGAGTCCTGGCTTATAGTAGTTATGGGCCCCCAAGGCGGTGCATCTCCTGGTGGAGCAATTAGATGCTGACCCAAGTGTCTCTCACAGCACTCTGTGAGGGGGCTTCTGGGCCAACAGGGTCTGCCCTCAGGTGCACAGGGGAGGGCTGGGGCGGCAGTGATGTGGAGGACTGTCAGAGCGGGCTCAGATGGGTTGGCTGGACAGGTGACTCACACATCAAGCAATCAGTGGCCCAGGGGAACAGTGTGGCTGCAAACCCAGCCCTGAGGGTTTCTGGGATGCTTCCAGGGAAGCTCTCTGAGGGAAGTTGAGGAGGGTGAAGGGATCCCCACTTGGACTTGCAGTCAGAACCTCCGCAGGAGGCACAAACAGCAGCTGGCCGCCGCCACTTTTCATCATGATCACCAATGCGATCCATTTCCTTAGCATCACTTTTGCTGCTAGGGAGCAGGGATCCTGCTTCTCACTCCAGGACGCTCCCCATTGCCGGCTCTCTGGAGATAAGATGTGAGAGCGGTCTGGAGAAGCCGGGCCAGGCCAGTACTCAGTCCCACTCTCTGGGCATTTGGTGGGCTCTTCGAATGGCTTATTTTCTTTCTTTGTCTCAGTTGCTTTCTTTGCTCTTTTTCTTTTCGACTCAGCTATTATCCCCATCTAAAAGCAGATTATTCAAATTGCATTTGCTAATGCTCCTTCAATTAAAGAAAATAAGAGAGCTGTGACTACGGTTTGGCCTGAAATTGTTAGCATGTAATTGTCGCTTCAAAAAGATGAAGCACAGCAAAACCCGAGCGCCTGCAGCGGCAAGGTCTTGGGGGAGTGAGCTCAGATCATGCGCTGTTACGCGCCCTGCAACCCCCCCACCCCGCAGCCTTGCACAGGGCGCCTCTGGGGGGGTCCTTGTGGACAAGAAGGGTGAGCTGCATGTGCTCTGTGACTCAGCCAGACACCTGCTCCTGGCCAAATGTCTCTGGCTTGGCTGGCTGGCCCTCAGCTGACCAGCAGGCAGCTGGGTGAGGAAAGCCTGCTGCACCTGCCAGCAAAGCCATTCCTCCTGCAGGAGCCAGGGAGGCAGCACCACCCAGCTCCTTTCTGCCCGCCTCCTCTTCACCTGTGGCACTGCGTACCCAGCACATTCCTCCTCCCAAGCTGTGGGCAGCATCTCTTTTGGTACTTACATCTGGCTCCAAAAGCTCTTCCATGTGTTTTCAGAGCAAATTCTACTTAAAAACTTATTTTCCAGTTACCAAATGAATCCTTCCAACACCCAGGGGAGACTGGCATTGTTTTCCACCGCATAAGAAAATGAAGTTCAGAAAGAAATTCATTCATCATCTTGGAATATAAATTATGCCAGAATCAGGAACTGAACCATCCCACCACATGTTACAGCAGATGACCACCTCCTACCCCTGCGAGGAGGGCAGTCTTGTACAATAGCTTCATAACAATCATAGGCTGGAGCTTTATATTTATCTGAGATAAGAATAAAGAACAGAATGGGGAAGCATGTGATGTGAAGAAAGAAGCATGGGGAAAATGGTCTAGAATCAGAGGGGGCTTACACAACAGGACACGCACGCTTGTAGCCAAAGGAAGCCAGGGCCAGGCTCAGAGATGAAACACGGAAACCCAAGCAGGCTGCAGAAGTCAGAGGGAGGCTCGGGGAAGAGCAGGGGAGGATTCAGGCCCCTAACGAATCAGTGCTCAGCCAGAGGGAGAAGAGGCGAGCACAAGCGGAGGTGGCGGTGACTGCGACTTAGGGGGCTTCTCTGAATAATACTTTTGTGTGATGGTGTTCACTTTTTGTTGCTTAAAAGAAGCAAAGAGAAAGCTTGTAGGAAGGAAAAAGTAAAGAATAATGAGGAAATAAAAAGGAGCAGAATTGGCTCATGAAAGAGAAAAAATGAAACCCTGAAGGAAAGACCTTAAAATTTAAGACTGCTGAACAGCAGGATGAGGCGTTGGTAAAGGAAGGGTAGGTACAATATTAAACACAGGTTGTGAGCACAAGCACAGTGAGAGAGAGGCCCTGCCAGGCAGCACTCCGCAGGCGGCCGCGTTCCAGATCCTTCCTTTCTCTTTTCAGGCCCCGGCTCTGTTATTTCCATCAGACAAATACAGCCACAGAGGTGCTCTCAGCTACCCAGAGCATCTTATATTTCTGGTGTGAAATACTACACAACACGCACACGTATTTCCCTGAGTTCTCCCTGGGCCTGCTCCCCACGTTCAAACTCAGAGCAGATGAAATTGTGACTTGAGACAAACTCTGGGAACGAAAACACCCCAAGGGACCTTACCCTCAGACACCAGGTCTCAAGCCTCACCTCGAGGCAAAGTAAAAAAACTGAATTAAGTAAGTCTGGTTGCTCATCTTTAATTTAATTCAGAGCATGTTAAGACCTCAGGAAGCCCTATAAGGAGAGATAAGCTTCAAGCCACACACACTAATGACTGATTCATTTTAATTAGTGATTTTTAGCAAGTCACGTGGAATAGTTACATTCCAAGGGGAATTTCCCTCACACGGCAGCAGGTGTATAACAGACCATAAAATTCAATTTCATTTCCTTCTACAGATTTTTTCTTATAAGTAAAACTCTTTAAACTCTTGAAATATTTGATGAGAAATGCCCATTCCTGAGGCCAAAAATAAAGAAAATGACCATTTAACTTGCCTTGCTGAGTAGGATGGACACCATGAAGAAATCCAGCAAGAAACTCTCTGAAAAGTCTTTGTAGTCAAAGTGGAAAAAGATGACAGCGAAGCTCAGGTGGATGAACTGGTGAACTGGGTTACAGAAGGAAGTCCGCAGTAGCTTCATGCCAGCAATGATCATCAGGAAAATGTCCCAGCTGCGGAAAGGAGAGAAGAGGACCAGTCAGTGACAGCATGCAGGCTGCCCAGTGTCTTAAAGAAGAATGAGGAAATAAAAAGGAACTTAGCGGATTAAAGTGCCTGCAAGCAGATGCAGGGGCTGGGGTTTCGATCCCTGGACCTGCCATTCCAGCCCCACCCCCGGGGCACACTGAGACAGCAATTGAGACTGAGCATGGTGGCACATGCCTGTAATCCCAGCTCTTGGGAGGCTGTAAACAGGTGGATCACTATGAGTCAGATCTAGTAGAGAGACCCTGAACACCCTGTAGACTGCCAGAGGGTGTTCTCTAAAGTACAATAAATAAATAAAAATAAAAGGAAGCAAATTTGGTACATGAAAGAGGAAAAATGAAGCCCAGAGGCTGTTCACCAAACTCCTTGTGTTCTATAAGGACAAAGCAAATCTGGACTCACTGAATGAAGTAACGACCTCAGCAATGAGGAAAGTTCCGTGGGAAGCTCGTGTCCACTCAGAAAACACCACACAGTCCTCCCATAGTCTGCTCAGCACACATCAATTCATGATAGAAGAATTTGACTGAAACAACCTCACAGCAATGGCCAACACTCAGCTTTGAGCATAGGCAGAAATCTAGTGTCTTAATAAAGCCAGTTTTCATTTGTACATATTAAGTTCTAATTTTTTTTTTTTAGCATATTTGTCATTCTAGTGAACATAACCCTGCCTTGGTCTTTTTTTTCCCTTGAAATCATAGGGCCTGGTATTTTTATTCCATAGCCCAGGCCTTCAGTGGAGGAGTTCACTCAAGCAGAATCAGGCAAAGAAACTCTCTGAGGACTTCACTAGTCTCCACGAACTCCCAGTTCACGCCTAGACTCATCCAGGGATTCAGATCATTGAAGGGTATGGGGGATGCATGTAATGTGCATGATTCCCTCAGATGGCAGCCAACAATGAGCAAGCTCCAACCTGGAAGGCAGGTGATGAGCACGATGCAGCCCCAAGTAGAGAGCAGCCTCCTTCAGTCTGGCTTCCTGAAGACCCCAGACTCCCCTGCAGCCATAACATGCCCACATGGGAACTTGGGGGCCCAAGTGGGAGAGCTCCCGGGAATGGCTGTCCTCAAAAGCAAGGGCTTCTCTCTCTAGCACAGCACTGGGGCTGTGCTGCTACTTTTCTAAGCCCAGGAGAGTCCTCAACCCTAAACCCTTCTGGGGATTAATACCTTGTCCCAGCATGAGGGCATTTAGAAATGCTTTCAGTAGAACAGTAATGACTAATGCCCACTAACTGAATACTTTGAGAAAGCTAGTAGAGAGGATTTTGAATGTTCCCAACATAAAGAAATGATAAATGTGAGGTGATGGATCTGGCATTACCTTGCTCGGATCCTTCTATACAGTATATATACATGTGGTATATATGTATACGTACAGGAGATATACGTGTGTGTGTGTGTGTGTGTGTGTGTGTGTGTAAATGGATCATTATACCCTATAAATATATACAATTATCGTGTCTCAAGTAAAATTCTTTTTAAGAAGTGCTTTCAAAGTACTTGTGCCTATCAGGTGTCACTTTTGTCATCAAAAAGCTCTAATGTTGACAACTCCATATGCCTTAATTTGATCCTTTATCTCACTTCAGACTCAGGGCTCAAATTCTTTTGGCTCTGCCCTGGAATGCACCTGGTGAGGTATGCCCAAGGCCTGGCATGACAGGCTTGGATCTGGCTTCTGAGGGAATTAGGCCCCCTTCCATGCAGACCTGGGGAGAGGGGAGAAGGTTTCCGAAACCAGCACTTAGCCCTCGTCTTGTGCGGTGAGGCCGTGCACTGCTCCACAGCCTGCTTTCCTTTGCCGCTAGGCCACCTGCACCACCATGGTGAGGCGGAAGAAAATAAGACCTCAGTTTTGGTGCCTCAGACAGTGGCCCAGAGCACAAAACTCTCTCTTGGACAGCTAGCACCCTCCTGAAGAACCCCAATAAGGAGGTAGCTCAAGATTCAGGACATTTTTATTTTCATGCATAAGATTTTCATGATGCAGTGTGACGTCCCAGGACAGCCCTGGTCCTGCCTTCCACTGTGTGGATGTGTGCTAGTGTCTGCCCAGTTCTGGATACCATGGCTCGGGCCTGGCTATGCTCACTGGTAATCCTGGCTGCTAGAAGCAGCGCACAGCGCTCAGAGGCAGAGCTGTCTCCTGGGCTGGACCTGGCTTACCTCAAATGTTTAACAGGCTCACCATCACATCCTCTGCTTATCTACTCAGTGTGACTCAATTTTTATCTGGGGATCTGAAGTCTCGGGATTAAGCACCAAGGGACATGGAATTCTCTTCCTGTTTTAACCAAAACAGGTCTGGGCTTGAGGGAAGACAGAGTCTGCTAAAGACAGCAGTCATGGGCTCCTTTCCTTTAAGGTCTGCTTTCTGTGACTCTGCATCTACTCAGAGTCCCACCGAGCATTAAAATGCCTTTCATCTTAGCTTGCTCAATCTTTGGCAAATATTAATTAATGTGTCCTCATCACACCGTGAGCAAAAGAGCAGGTCTGAATTAATATGCTTGGGATTAGCATCAGCGTTGACCTGGGTGTGTAGTTTTCTAACGTGACTAATGAGCGAGTCTGAGAAGGAATCCCTTTCGCATCCTCCTACACTAATAAAGGATTTAAGCATCAACTCTCACCTTTTGTCAGAATGGCAAATCCCCAAATTATCAAGTACATTTCCATTTGTAAATTCAAAATTAATTTTAATGCATGAAACCCATGAATCCATTTTGCATTGTTAATGCCTTGAAAAAACATGGATATTTTGACAGTATGAAGTCTCCCATGCTCCAGTTTCTAAATTATGAAGCTCCTCCTGATAAATGCAGACAGTGGGGGCAGTGATTAATTGCCCCCTCCCCCAAGCACCAAATGATAGGGTATTCACTAAGTGAGATGGCACAAGGCAGCTGTTAGTGCTCTGAACGTGGTGGGGAGACCCCCAGGAAGCCCGGATTCACACTGTGCTTCTGCCATCTCATTAGCCTCCCCAGCTAAGCCTTTGCAGGACAGTCTTCAAGCCCACTGACATTTATTCACAACACCCCTTCAAGCAGTCTAACTTCCCTGTGCCATTGTCCCACCATTGTAACCTCATACTCCCACGGGTGTGAGGAAAAGACAGCTAGGTAATACTTTTACGATGTCAGTGATTAGTAGGTAGAAGTTGGTTTCTTCTGCAGCCTGTTGAGAGAATATGCACTAAATTCTGAAAATGTTGTGATCCAAATCCTTTATAACAATAAATCATTCTTCACTTACTGGGTACCAAGTCTCCGGTAATTGCTTATTGAAAATGCATCAATAGTGAGGGCATTCAGAATTATTGCTGGGTACAGGATATATTTTTCAAAACACTGAAGCCAAACATAGAGTCTTTCAAACCACATTAAATGGGCGACACCTGAAAGAAATACAAAAACCCCTTAGAACAGCCAAGGACAAACTATTTTTCCTGAAGTACAGACTTAATAACAAGTAATATTCCCCTTTCAGTTGAAAACTGCTGACAGAGGACCCAGGAACTAGCCGTGGTATAGGATTTCTCTCCAGCCATCAGCTCACAGCTGTGCTGCGGCATAGTTCAACCCAATAATGCACAGTTACGCTGGTCGGCATCCGAGTCCCCGAGTCAATCGACTTCTGCAGATAGATTACTGGCACCAGTGTAACCCTGTCACAGAGAGAGTGTCAAGTTGTCACAATGAGTAATGGTCGAATGGGTGCAGGATTGGAAACAATCCCATGCAATGCTTTTGCCATTTGGGTGATTTCTAGGGCTGGGGCTGGTTTCTGGAGATTTCTTTTTACTCTTTAAATCATAATCAAATCCTTGGACAGCATACCTAGTGCAGAGAAAGCTGACCCCTGAACCTATCATACAGGAACTACTAGATTTTTCTGATCCTTTATGATGAGGGAGGAGGGGACAGTGATGTCTATTCATTACGGGCTAAGGTTTTAAGTGACACCGATTTGGATTTGCCTTCAGTCTCTGCCAACTCTTGTGCGTGTCTCCCTGAGTCCTTTTTCTGTGTCCCACCCATCCGCAGCGACTGCCATTAGAAAAGATTCCTCCCGCTCTGCTGTCTTCCTTGTGTGTCATTCATACTCACAGCATCTCTCGTCCCTCTCACTAGCTTTTCCTTTTGGGGAGGAGCAGTGGCTGCTCTCCTTGGTCACAGCACAAACTTTGTGGGACACATCAGGAGTGGTATTATGACTGGATCTAAAATGCCCGGCCCACTCTCACTTTGGAGGTGGGGCTTAGTGAGAGGTGGGGTCACTGTCACTGGAGGCGTGAAGTGGAAGAGGCGTTCTTGTCCTTGGCCTTATTCTTGTCCTCCTTCCTCTGTTTCCTAGCGGCTATGAAATGAGAACTTTTCTTCCATCAGGCCCTTCTGCCACGCTGCTTCTGCCTTGAAGTTGGCTGTCCCTGGACTCAATCCTCTGAAAACCAGAAGTCAAAACAAATGCTTCCTCCTTGAAACTGTGGTGTTGGGCATTTGTCTGAGAAATGGCAACGCTTAGAGATGAAAAGAATAACTCTACATCATAAGATGGACTTCAGTTGTTTGCAGTGGCTAGGGCTAGATGTTAAGGCTTACATCTAAATAGTCTCCCAAATCTTATATTCGCAGGTGGGGCTGGTTGGAGGTGGGCATATTGGAGGCATGCCTGGAAGGGTATGTTCTTGTGCCCGGCCCAGGCCTTTCCTCTGCTTCTATGTGCTGCAGGTGAGCACTGTACTTTGTTGTGCCTCCTGCCATGCCTCCTACCACAGCCTTTCTGCCTTGGAATCAAAGAACCATGGCCTGAATCCATTAAAAAAAAAAAAAGAGCCAAAAGAAATCCCTCTTCTTTTAAGTTGTTGGTCTCAGGTATTTTGTCCCAGTGAAGAGAAATCTCACTAATATGCATATAGAAAGCTCTCTACAGCCTCAGGGGTTCAGATTCAGGGCTAGAGCTCCCCTCTGCTTCTGTCTTAGAGAGAGAAATATAGCCAAGGCAGGATCTGGGTCCCAGGGGCCCAGCCCTCCCCTACATACTTTCAATCTGCCGTAAGCCAGAGGCTGTGACAGGCTGGATCCTCCAGCAGAGAGTAGCTGAGGAGTCATCGAGTGGGTCCCAACCTCTCCACCCCACGTGTAAGGGGGATGGAGGCTCCATCACACATCTGAATCACATTCTTCAACAAGTTATGGTTGGGCTGGGGAGATAGCTTGGTGGTCAAAGTGCCCAGGCAGGTGCAGAAACCCAGGTTCAATCCCTGGTACCACATGCTGTGCTGGCCCTGGAATCCGGGCACACCATGCTGGCCACCAAAACCAGGTGTGGCAGTGCACACCTGTAATCCCAGCTGGGGAGGCTGAGACAAGAGGATCACTACAAGTCCAAGCTGCGTAGTAAGACCCTATACCAAACAAATAAATAAATAGATTTTTAGAAAACAATTTATGGTTAAAAAAAAAACAACTTTGCATCCCAATAAGGGGGGAGAACTACATAATTTTAAATTGCTTTACATAGTTTTGTCTGGGTTATGAAAAATAACTTGTGACAGAGGCACTGTCACACTTATGACACAGGCTGTCCCCTCTGGGTCATTCACCCAAGATTCTAGGACAAATGACCTATTTCCCAGTAACTCCCCTGGGACTTTATGTAAGGGATCTCAGAAAGAAACAAACACACACACAGGTGTGTATGTGCACACACACACACACACACACACACACACACGAGATTAAAACTGAGGTTCGTACTTTCTTCCATGGCTTATTTTCAGCATAAGAATGTACTATCTCTGCAACTCAAAGACACAAAAATACTTTTACTTGATTAAAAACATGAAGGCTTGCATTCAGAAATCTTATTTGAAAAGAATTCATAGGGACAAGACAGCGAAGGAGACTGGGGAAAGCCTTTCATGACTTGGGAAACAAATGAGAACAAACACCTGACAAGGGGAGCAGTAAACAGAGGGAGATGCAAGGAGGAATGAGAGGGATTAAAAGAAGTCATGGTGACCATCGAGACAGAGGAAGGGCTTGGGAGTTGGAAGAGAATTAAGTTCAAAGAGTAAGGATGAAGGGTAGGAATTCAACTTTGGGCTTTCTTCACAAGCAATGTGAACAACAATCCTGGGGGGATTTAGAAATGTGCTATTTCACAATGAATGATTTTTTATATATAATAAAGTCAAGGTATATTATGCATTTCACAGTTAGATGAAAGAGCCTCAATCTTTTGTGAAAATACATGAAAAATAAGGGAAAAAAAATTCTCAAGAATACTCCAAGCAGAAAATGGAATCTTGAGGGTAGTGGTACCCTCACCTGCCACCCCTTGGGCAACCAATCCATCTGCAGCTCTATCCATGCTTTGTCTCCTCCTGAGGTCAAGCCCTCCAATGCTCTGGACCGAGAGCTCCCCATCACCGTGGTTGCTGAGGCCCTCCCTTCTCTCTCTCCCGTGTGCCGCCCATGTCTCTCACCCTACATCTTCTCTATCCACTTTTGCACAGCCAAACTTTTGAGAGGCTTGTCAATCCCAGGAAACTCCTCTTCCTTGTCTTCTACTTACTCAGGAGCTTCTGCCCCTGGGCTTTTGGAGCTATGCCAGTTCAGAACTGCACAGGGCCAGGCCCCTGGTGATCTCCTGACTGCCACAGAAAGGACACATCTCCATCAATCTTATTGGAACTCTCGGAGGTGTAAAAATCATTGCTCCTTCTTTTAAATACTACCTCCCCCACTCCTTCTCCTATACTCCAGAAAACTTCAAATACCACACACCCTTGTTTGAGAAGCACTGAAAAGGAACCATCAACCCCCACAGCCTGCTCTTTTTCACAGATTCTCAATCCAGTGTAATGACTCTTGAATTAACTTGGGCATGCAGGCAACATACCTTGGAGCCCTAAATCAATTCTTCTCACTCATAGCTTCTATTGGAACCACCTGGGGCAACGCTGAAAATCATTATCCTGGAGTGGCGAGCCGCATGCTTCCAGGTGTAAATAAATGACTGGTTAAAATGCAGAATCTGGTCCAGCAGGCCTGGAGTTGAGCCAGACATTCTCTTTTTTAAAGAAGCTTGTAGGTGATGCTGGTGCTGGTGCCGCTGTATCTCAGGCAGTATTTTGAGAACCAGACCAGCAAAACCAGTATCTTCTGAGATGTGTGAAACACACAGATTCTTAGACCAGAACCGAGTAAACCAGAATTTCTGTGGCTGTGACCTACATGAAACTCTGTGCTTTAACAGGCTCTGCAAACAATTCTGAGACATGCCCTTGTTTGAGAAGCACTGTGTTGAGCGGTCTTCCTCTGCACCTGCAGAGCTACATGGTCTTGATTCCAGGTACTCAGTTCTTATATACTGATCTTTTCCTTTCAATCTGCAATGCTCAGAGCATTAATTTCTTTTTTCTAAAACATTATAGTTATATAAAAACCAGAAGCATAACACAATGTATAGCTACTGCAAGGACCCCATCCTTCTGCCCCATGTAAGAATGTTTTTCTTCCAAATATCCCACCTTCTCTCTCATTCCCTGATTTTCTCTCTGTACTGCATCATTCTCATTAGCATGCAAACTCGCTAAGATACTTTCTATCTTTTAAAATCTGATTCTTCAGAGGGGGGAATATAGGCAGCTGAATTAGACAGAAATATTATAGGCAGTCAGACAGGGCCAGGCCCTCAAGGACAATAGGGAAGACAAGGTGACTTTGCAACTTTGGAAAGACACTCCCATACGGGCTAGACCTCAAGACAAAAGAGGAAACAGAGCTACATACATCCCAAGGGATGGGCATCAGGGATTGATATTTTAAATAGGTATCAATCACCTTAAAAGAGCCCAAATGAGTCACTAGCACAAGCCTCAAAAGGAAGAGACCCTGTCCTGGATTCATGCCAGCTTGCCACGTGACTCGCTTCCTCCTTTGGTCCTGGATTTAATCAATTTTACCTGAGCAATGGTGCTTGTAATCTGATTGGTTGACCATAGTTCTGTCCTACCTCATGCCCACCTAAGCGAGTTCCCATGTTTACCACCTTAGGCCAGCCTCACCACATGGTTTTACTCTATAAAATCCCTGGAAGAGACAGCTTCCCTGGGACCACCTGCTCGGGACCCCCCTTCTGTCCCTCTCTCAACCAGAAGCTTTCTTTTCCCCCGATAAATATATTCCGCTTATTAAAAAATAAAAATCTGCTCTTTCTTAACTCTACTTTTTTTTTTGCAGATATTTTTCTTTTTAGGTATTTCTTCATTTCTTTGCATCCACTTGTAACAATTGTGCAAAAGATTTTGGCTCTACTCCCTTTCTCCACCACCTTATCTCCAATTCTCTTCTAAGTCTACTCAGATGCTCATAGAAACCACGGCATCAA